TTGAAATTTTAATTTCACACACACATACACACACAAAATTAAATGTTATTCTTAGTTATTTATACGTGAGCAGTTTTTATTTTTAAACAGTAAATTTAAAATTGTTTACGAGCCTGAATATTCGAGAAAATTTATTAAAAAAAATATGACTCCCACTACCCGCGCCAATGATTCAATCCTGCGTCCCACTTGGCAGGTTCGAATCGACACAGAAAGATAATATTTTTCTTTAATAAGATTTCTCGAATATTCCGGCTGGGAAACGATAATCATTATCATCATCATCATCATTTATTCATTCAGCGCATTTTGCGCCGCTGTGGTCAATATTCCCCACCCTCTCAAAATTGGGGTTAATGGTGACATTCAAGGCGAAATAGTGCAATTCGAAAAATATTTTCACTTTTAATTTTTGATATACTATATTTCTTTTAAGAACAAGTAAATGTATTAGAATCCCTTACAGTATGTATAGTTATTTTCACATCAAGTATAAATATGTATATTATTCGGTAACAATTTTTTTTTTTTATAAATATTTTTTTTTCAAATTGTAATAAAAAAAAAACGTATTCTAACCTGAACACCCCCACCCCCCCAAAAAATATACAAATAGAAAAAATGCCGTAAGAATTATTGGCGTTAACAATAATTTTTTTTAAAAAATCCAGACGACATGCATTTAACGGATGTCAGATTTCATTGAAAAATACATCCCTACCCCCTATCAAAACGTAACTTATAACGGATACAATAATACAGACATAATGAACACGCAAACACCCCTGTTTAGTGTAAGTGAATTTATCTGTAACCATGGAAACGTGAATTATGATTTTAGCTGTGTCTTTAAAACCCAGTAATTTTAAAAGTTACTCCAAAATTCGCTTGAGAATGAAATGGAACTAATGTCTTTAATTTAATCACAAAATTAAATTCGGGGCTTCCATTTTTGAAACATGGTTAGAACTGTGTAGCGGAAAAAAACATTTTAAATCAATTAATTTATAATATTAATGCTCTGTAAATTTACATTGAGCACTATTTTGTAAAAATAAAAATATCTATAAGAACACCGGATTATATATCTTACTGTTCTTTCTTTTTATTTATACATACATACATACATACATACATACATATATATATATATATATATATATATATAAGAATACTCAGACATTATTCGCTCTTCGTGATTTAAAGTTTCATGTGGACAGCTAAATATTCGCGCGACTGTCTCACAATATGAAATAGAGTACCTTGGCCCTGGTTCCAAACTAAAGATTGTGAGAGAGCCACATCACTATCTAGGTGTTGACATGAAACATTCTTCTTCTTTATGTAACATGTCCCATCAGGGTGAAGGCGATCATGTCTCTCCACAGCTTCCTGACCTTTGTAGCTCATAATAAATGTTGTCCTTCTCTTATTTCTTCTAAACCTTATTCTGCCATCATTTTCTCAAGCTCAGTATGTTATGCGTTGTTTTCCTCAGTTCATCTTGCCTTCAATCTGGCCTGTGAGTATCAGATTTTTCAAACTCTCTTTCCTCATCAGGTGCCTTAGAGATTCCAACTACAATCCTCAAAAGTCTCCTTTTTATTTCCATCTTCTCTGAAACTTCTCATTGCCCACATATTCTTTAAATCCACATTTCTATTGCTTCATTACGTTACGGAAAGTCGGTAATATTTAAATGTTGGTTTTCCTATGTTTATTATATTGTCTCTTTTTGTATATATTTTACATCGAGCACTGTTATTACATGGCTTTGTTTGCTTTTATTAAACAATATATATATATATATATATATATATATATATATATATATGTGTGTGTGTGTGTGTGTGTGTGCGTGTGTGTGTGTGTGTGTGTGTGTGTGTGTGTATACAGAGTACATAAAAGGTTAATGGTCAGAGTTGAATAGAACTAGAAAATAGTAGTATTAAAAAGTGGTCAATACACGTGTGAAAAAATAAAAATAAAAATAAAAATGACATAAAGAACTTTTAATTTTAAACATTAGGAGATCAGTTAATGCCCTAAGATTGTAAGCAAGGTAGAGGAATCAATTGATCTCCTAATTTTTAAAAATATATATATATATATATATATATATATATATATATATATATATATATATATATGTGTGTGTGTGTGTGTTCATTGATTTTTGTTCAGTGGCCTATCAAACTCTGTGGCTTATTTGATGACGAAATATCTATATTATGAAAGCGACTCTATGCCTTCAACCGCAGATAAAATGTATTGTTGGTCATTTTGCTATAGACAGATATTATTGGTAATTATTTTATAGAAAATGCTGCGATCCTAACAAGTGCTACCACCCCAGGTCAAGGTAAGCCTTGGAACAACAACAACTTCTCAAAAGCCCCAGTCTCCCGATCAGAGGCCTTGCAGCCGAATGTATTTTATCACCGTACCCAGGAATGGTGTATTCATCGCATTATTTTATAAAATGATTGTGTCGAAAATAATAAATTTCCTGTAAATAAGTATACTGACGTGTACACACACGTACACACACACACACACACATATATGTATATATATATGTATGCAAGATTCATTAATTATGACAGACAAGATGCTTTGCTTATTTTTTATATAATTTCTCATATAACCTCATAATTTTTTTCTTTTCTGTAGATAAATTATACGAAACTGACCAAATGTTTTATTTTTACAAGCGCTTACTTAGTCATTATCAAGGAAGAATAATACAGACAAAAGTGCTTGAAAAAATAAATCATTTTGATAGATTTGTATAATTTATATAAGGAAAAATTAAAAAAAATTATAAGATCATATAGAAATTATATAACAAACTTAATCAAAGCACCTTGCATGTCATATTTAATGAAGCTTGCATGAAAAGAAGGGTTGCTGCCTAAATACACAGTATATATATATATATATATATATATATATATATATATATATATATATATATATATATGTATGTATGTATGTATGTATGCATATGTATATGTGTGTGTGTACATGTGTGTTTGAAAATTGGTTATAACAATTAGGAAAATTTTGGAATTTCGACTTTAGTAAAGAACACGATTTATTTAGTGAAATGAACTCAGCCAGGCTTTGTGCCTTTGTATTTCCATCAGTTTAGTGGTCCATTGCTTTATTATATCACATTTGCTGTTAAATATTGCTATTCAGCTGTCTCCTAAAACTTTCAATTCACTTACGTTGATTAGAGCTTTTGCAAATATATTATTTTGCAATGTCCCCAATGCAATAGCAACAGCCACATAAAAGGAAATTTAACCAAACCATTGTGTCTTTTACAGCGAAATTACGAGCAATTTGGAAGGACAAAGCTGATTTTTATTACCGAGAATTGTGGGTGGTTGGCGTGAATGAAAATAATGACTGCAAAACCGTTGGCCAAGGAATAATTTTAGAGAAAGCAAAAACTAGACGTAAATCTAAGTATAGTTCTACTTTATATTTGTTTGTTTTCAGTCAGAGATATATTATTGAGAAATTATACAACGCCCAGGACAGACAGTTGCAGGACGAATCATTAACATTAAAATAGTTTCAATCATAGGATTTATTAAAGAGATACGCCAAAACTTTGGCTCAGCCGAATGACCATATACACCGGTGTAAAAATAAAATTACAACAGTCAGAATACGTTTTAAGATAAAACGTAATGTTAATATAACAATGTTGCAACAAGCTTACAGTTATATCACGTTGAAATATCGGTGCCCGTACGATCATTGAAGTTAAGCAACGTCAGGCTGGTCAGTATCAAGATGGGTGAGGATTAGATTGGGAATACTAGGTGCTTTAAGATTGAATGTTCGGATAGTGTAATGGATAATGGCTCAGAATTGTTAATCAAAGAGCCGAGTTCTAATTCCACTTGGCTTCATCTTATTTCACTTACGCACAAATACCCTTGGGAAAGGTATGAATCCGCATTATATCCCCTCCAGCTATAGGTTAATTAGTAAGACTTTTATAGCTAAAACAATTTTTTATTTTAAAGAAATATTACAATTTAAAAATATTTCTTGCTTTAAATGACCTGCAAATGGCTACTAACCTGTAGAAAACGAATCGTGCAGAATCAGTCATGAAAACCAACAAAAGATCATATAGCAGGTACGAGAGATTATGAAGACTACTAGGTTAGCTAGATAATCCCTGTTGTAGACAACTGCTCAGGCACATTGATTTCTACCTCAGATCAAGAGTCAAATTGTGCTTATAGTGCAACTATGCTGAGAGAGGTATTATCTTCTTTATTTGAATAATGCCAGTTCGCTCACCCCAACCCCCGGTCAAGATGACTTGAGACTTCGTGCTTTCACAGGGCATGCTAGGACACACATGACTACTTTCGGGAAGTCAAATCACTTTCATTTCCCCCGTATTTCAAATGTAAGAAGAGAGGGCCACCCAGAAGATTTTTCTCTCAAGAACTGCTGCTTTATGGAATAGACTCCAGCATGGCTGCTTCTCTGAACACTACACACTTAACCTCTTCAAGTCAAGCGTCAGTCCTTAGCCATCTTCCTTATCGTCACTTCCTTATCACTTCATCTTTCACTCATATAGCACCAAATATGAACCTTTTATTTGGTTAAATTTAGCATATAAAAAATACAGATAATAAAGATCAGACGCAGATGGTACACTGTTGTGAATGTTACTAAGTGAGATCTCGTAACAAGTCCAATAGATTTATTAAACATCTGACCCTGATGTGCATTTCGACGCAAAATATAGTTGAGACGGGAAAACTTGAGTCGGGCAATCAGATAAGATTTGTTTTTTATTAGGAGCTTTTTAACATAAGTTCGGTTGGCCTGAAAAATACATCAAATTATTTAGTAATGTAATAATTTACACACACACACACACACACACACACACACACACACACACACATATATATATATATATATATATATATAGATAGATAGATATAGACTGAGACAATGGGCAGACATAGATAGATAGATAGATAGATAGATAGATAGATAGATAGATATGAACAGACTGAGACAGATAATGTGCAGACATAGATAGATAGATAGATAGATAGATAGATAGATAGATAGATAGATAGATAGATAGATAGATAGATATAGACTGAGACAATGGACAGACATAGATAGATAGATAGATAGATATAGACTGAGACAATGGACAGACATAGATAGATAGATAGATAGATAGATAGATAGATAGATAGATAGATAGATAGATATGAACAGACTGAGACAGATGTGCAGACATATATATATAGATAGATAGATAGATAGATAGATAGATATATGGTAGTAGAGAAAAAACTATCTACGTATGCTTCTTATAATATGTAGAGATAATAGTCCGCTGAAAGAAATTCTAGAGGTAAAAAAACAACAAAAATAAAATTGATAATAAGACTAATAATATCTATCGTAAATTACTACTGCTTTTGACCAAATGAAAACATTATGAAGTGTCCTATCTTTATTCTTTGTTGCATGTGTTAAATTACTGAAGAGATATGGGCTATTTGTTTACCACAATTAGCATTGTAGAGTGTTTTAGAACGCTTTTTTATGGAAACTGTATTCCTTATACATACATACATACAGACAGACATACATACATATACATTTTTATATAAGATCAGCGTTCCGTTTAAATATGATCACGTCGTCGTCACGTGAGCGATGTTGTGAAAACGTATTCGAAGATGATTTCCAAATATTAAAATATTAAAAAAGTCGATTGAACTATTTTATATAAACAGTTCAAGAAATCCCTTCCGTTGATATAGGAATACGCAGAGAACAATAGGTTCTTATATCTTCATACAAGCTTGAAGTCCTCCACGTTTCAAAGCAAATCAAAAATGATTTCAAAATATCAGAACGATGGAACAATTTTAAAAACAGTTCGATAATACATCCTTTCCTTACTTGATCAATGGATTCTTATATTTCCGTACAAGCTTGAAGTCTTCTATGTTATAAAGTAAATTCAGGTTTGTATTTCCAGTAGACAGTATGTAAGCTGATCTTATATAAAAATTTCAGTTATCTGTTTGGATTAGTTGTGCTCTTATGTCCATCGTCTTTTCGTGTTGAATTTTTATATGTTCTAATGTTAATTATGTTTAAATGAAAATGTCCTGAAGATGGTCTAAAATAAACCGAAACGTCCGACGTTGACTTTATATTAATACAGCATGATTGCATATTAAGATTTTCGTTTGTTTTTTCTGTATATTTTTCTTCATACTGTCGGATCTATATCCATATATATATATATATATATATATATATATATATATATATATATATATATATATATTTTTAATCATTTTAATTTTTTACTCATTAACAGAATGTTACTGAGTACAGCATCACTATATGCATAAGAGAAAGAACATGCAGACCACACACACACACACATATATATATATATTATGAAATGGATTAAGTCCGAAAATTATTTAACATATTTTCTGTTTATACACTTTTTAATAATGCAATTTATTTAAGTAAATGCGCTGTTTTTTTAATAAACAGTTTTGATTACATTTACTACACTGAATGTTGGAGAAATTTCCTGGAAAATATGGGTTCTCCGACAGGAAACAAACATGTCGCCTATACTGAACAGTCAATTGATCTGACATGCTATATCACTCAGCTACAGAGTGTGTGATCGTTTGTCAAAGATCTTCGAAGATTTGTCGTTTATAAGCACTAATTTGGACTTTGCTAACTAGACACTTTCTATGTAGCTGAGTGGTATACCTTTTACTCTATTCTTAATTCTTGCTATGTCTTATTGAACTTTATGTCTGATATTTGGTTGGCCATCAATCTAGGAGAGGAAATAATCTGAATTCAACGTCATGAAGAAAGCAACTCCCCTTTATTTAAAAAAAAACACCAAAAAACCCCCAAAAAACATAGCAATTCACAGATACTAAAAAACAGAAGAATTGCAGAGTTCAGAAAACCTACTTGCTGAAGTGACATGACATTTAAAAAATATTTTAATGATGCTCCTTATCTTATTCTTCTATCGAATTCATGTAGACTTCTTTTTATCACTTAGATTTTTTTTCCTGGAATTGATCTTTGTTTTGATCTTTGTATGTTTCTGGGTTATGGTGCGTAAATAACTCAGAGAATTAGAAATGAAATCAGCTTGATCTGAACAACTGTTCCATCAGAATTCAAGTAGAAAATTGAACATTTTTCGTTTCCTTAGATAGAATTTTTGATCTCTTATGCACGGAATATTCTTGACAATGTTGCCTTCATTCCTCACTCACATTTTTATCTTTATTCTTTGCATTGATTCTTTTTTAATTTCAATGGCGGCGCCTGCAAACTAGTCTGTTTTATAATTTTCTATTTTCTCGACGGTTGTTCCTATAATGTCGCCTTCTTTTTTGTGTCTTAATAAATTTTTATCGATTCCTCTCAGACTAATATACACTACTCTACAGCTACTTCCTCTAACAGTTTCATTTTATTGCCCTTGTTTTAATCTATGCAATGGCGTCAACCAGGTATCTGAAATCACCCGGTTGGATTCCCCGAAATACATGTGCCACAGACAAAGAAAGTCGGATAGGCCACTTAGTTTGCACAAAACGATTGGACATCTTTATTAAGAAAGGCATATTAGAATAACGAAAGATGCTTTTCCAAAGATAAAAAAAAAGTATTTAGTGTCAGGAAATTTCGTTAGAAGAAAATAAGAGTAATATCAATCTTTCTATATGGCAGTGAATGCTGGACAATTTCCTTGTAGATTAAGAGGAAATTACTTTTTGCAGTTTCGCCAATTTGTTTACTGTCGTATCAACGGATCTTTCTAAAGAATTGTTGGAGGAAAAATGTTACTTTAAAAGAATGAGTTCGTTCCTTCATTTTCAAAGAGATATGTAAATATTGTGGTACAAAATTTTTGTTTATATATATATATATATATATATATATATTAATAAAAATACATACTATCCCACATCAATAGATCGACTTGGAGTTTCATGCGGTTACGCAATCTTCAAGCGCAGAATGCTCACTGACCGTTAACCGTAATTATGTGTATTCATTAATGCATACTTAAAAGCTCTTTTATATAACATTGGGCACTGTTTTTATAACACCTGGAAAATATATATATATATATGTGCAAGTGTGTGTGCGCATACGTATGTTTTTATCATAGCTCTGTCTGTCTGTCTGTCTGTCTGTCTGTCTCTCTCTCTCTCTCTCTCTATATATATCTATATATATATATATATATATATATATATATATATATATATATATATATATATATATATATATATATATATCTCCGGTACTGAAGAAAAACCGACTATAGATATCTAGAAATAGAGATCATTTTCATGAAGATCTCTTTTTAGAACATTTAAATAAGTTTTTTTTCTTTTTTTTTTTAATTCCTTTACTGGGAACAGACTTTAGTAGTCTTTTCCTTAGATTGTGAAGAACCAATATTTATGTATGGACCGGTGAGGGGTCTGCGGCCGTCACCCATTGAAACGTCGGTTCACCTACGTTCAGCAAAGTTAAGCCACATCGAACCTGGGAAGTAGCTAGATGGGTGACCGATTGGGAATGCCAGGTGCTTTCAAGTTGGATGTGCGGATGATTTAATGTATAATGATTGGGAATTTGAAATTGGAGAACCGAGTTCTATATTTCCTTTCAATTCGTTATATTCACTTACGTGCAAATGTCTTTAGAAAAGGTATGAATTCACATCTTCACCCGAGCTATGGGTTAATTAGTAATTATATCATTAAACTACTAGTCTCTATAAAAAATAAAAAAATAAAATCTAAAAATATTTTCTGTTTTTAAATAACCTGTAAGTGGTTGCTAAACCGTAAAAAAACGAATCAATCTATCTGTAAAAGAAAGGAATTTTATAACGATTTTTGCCTTAAAATATGCTTAAATTATTTAAATAATTATTATTATTTTTACAAATAACTGAATATTTATTACTCTATTCATATACAAAACACAAATCTCGACATTACGATATTTCGATAAATTTTTGATAATTTTCTTTATACCCTTGTAAAATTTTTTATAGTTTTCTTTATTCCCTTGTAAAATCTTCGATAATCTTCAATATGAATGAAATCAATTATTTACTCGTTCTTATCAAATATCGGAACTAAAAATAATCAATGAGAATTAATTTTTCAAAAAGCACGATGATTCCTATTACTGATGCGAAATTTACACAGCCTCGTTTTCACAAATTATTATCTTTGCTAATGAATGTTCCATTTAATATTCGATATTTTTCTGTTATTTTCCTTTTTCCCATTATAGTTTTCTTTTTTACATTAATGAAAAATATTGCATTAATTTCTTTTTTTATTTGAAGAGAAATATTTCATTCATTTCGTTTTCTTCTTGAAAGTAAAATAGTCCATTTATTTAATCTATCTTTCATCTTTGTTCTTTCTTTCATCCTTTATTTACACGAAAATTATTTATTGTTTCCTCTTTCTTTCTTTGGTTGAAAAATATTTCATTCTTTGCCTCCTTTACTTTGAATTATATCTTTGTATTTATGTCTATCCATTTCCTTTCATTAATGAAAAGCAGTTCAATCTTGCGCTTTCCTTCTTTTCATTTTGCATAAAGATAATCTATGATATTCATTATTTATTTATTTGTCTCATTGTCGTCTTTCGTTCTGTTAACTTCCTGTGAGTCATATCAATATCCTTGTTCTGTTTATTTTCAAATAATATGAAACAAAATACCATTTTATCCAGATTTTTTTTCTTTTTTCAGTTTAGCCATATTGGTTTAATATAGCAGAAATTCAAATAGTTATGAGGTTTGGATAAGATTGGAAGTAGAGCCTTCCTTGAAAATCAACATTTCACGTTTAGGCTTCAGCTAAAAAAACCTCAACAATCTTAGCCATAATCAAAGTACATTTATTATTTTCTTTTCTTCAAATGTTAGTAAGTCTTAAACAATCTTTATCAAGCGATTCCTTTCTTAGCTTTTTTTTTCTTTTGTACTCATTTTCTGATACTATTTATTGCTATCATTTGATATTTCCCTCAGAAGAACACCCTCATTTGTAATTTTTTTTTATCAATGGGTTTTATTCGGCCTGCTGCTGCTGATATCGTATCGGTTGATATTTGTCGTTTTTCTTCTTTTTTAAAATTAAGAAAACATGGGTTAGTACAGAAAAATTTCAAACATCTTCGGCGTTTAGATATAACTGAAAGTCATTTTTTCCTTGACAATCAGCAATTTGAGTACCGGCTTTTA